ATTTTAATTATTACTTTGTCTTCAAAGCAGAAAACTGTATTAAAATAGACCATTTCTAGAGATAGGGATCTCTTGCACTGATGATAAAAAGAGAAATTAGTCGATGAATTTCTACTTAATCACGATTTGATAGAAAGAGAAACCATTCAATTAGATTATTGTAAAATCAAGATTCATCATAAAGTAAAAATTATTCAAATCCGTTTCTCTCTTCAGAAACCCTAAAAAATAAACAAGTGCCACAGGAGATGGTGGTTCTGAATTCCAAGTCTTTTACCATCCCAGGCATTAAATACTCTGAGAAGGTTGAAACGGGAAAAATAATCGATAAGTTTTGAAGTAAATAAAACCTTCAGATTAAAAAATTCTGAAGTTGGTTTTTAGGATTTGAAATAATCCAGCAATCAGCTGTATTCTATAGTTTGGTTATATATATTATAACTAACGTATTAATGTATTGTGAAAAGATTATAACTAATGTATTACTGATTTTATTAAAACATTTCTGTTTCCTTTTTACCACAAGAAATCGTTTAGTGTTAACTATTGCTTACAAACATCATACGAAATGTTTCAAAATATTTATTTATGCTAGTTATTTGAAAGTAACTTGTTTGCATTATTTCAAAGTGTTTTTTCCTTGTTTATTAATCTCCTGAAAACGAAAAATTTGAATTACAGCTAACAGAAGCCGGGGAAAAGCAATTTAGTTTTATTTATAAAATGCCAGACTTTTTTACATTTTAAGGAGTCAGAACACATTTAAGTAGTGTAACGAAAATAACGTTTAAAAAGTAAAATTTGAATTACAGCTAACAGAAGCCGGGGAAAAGCAATTTAGTTTTATTTATAAAATGCCAGACTTTTTTACATTTTAAGGAGTCAGAACACATTTAAGTAGTGTAACGAAAATAACGTTTAAAAAGTAAAATTTGAATTACAGCTAACAGAAGCCGGGGAAAAGCAATTTAGTTTTATTTATAAAATGCCAGACTTTTTTACATTTTAAGGAGTCAGAACACATTTAAGTAGTGTAACGAAAATAACGTTTAAAAAGTAAAATTTGAATTACAGCTAACAGAAGCCGGGGAAAAGCAATTTAGTTTTATTTATAAAATGCCAGACTTTTTTACATTTTAAGGAGTCAGAACACATTTAAGTAGTGTAACGAAAATAACGTTTAAAAAGTAAAATTTGAATTACAGCTAACAGAAGCCGGGGAAAAGCAATTTAGTTTTATTTATAAAATGCCAGACTTTTTTACATTTTAAGGAGTCAGAACACATTTAAGTAGTGTAACGAAAATAACGTTTAAAAAGTAAAATTTGAATTACAGCTAACAGAAGCCGGGGAAAAGCAATTTAGTTTTATTTATAAAATGCCAGACTTTTTTACATTTTAAGGAGTCAGAACACATTTAAGTAGTGTAACGAAAATAAACGTTTAAAAAGTAAAATTTGAATTACAGCTAACAGAAGCCGGGGAAAAGCAATTTAGTTTTATTTATAAAATGCCAGACTTTTTTACATTTTAAGGAGTCAGAACACATTTAAGTAGTGTAACGAAAATAACGTTTAAAAAGTAAAATTTGAATTACAGCTAACAGAAGCCGGGGAAAAGCAATTTAGTTTTATTTATAAAATGCCAGACTTTTTTACATTTTAAGGAGTCAGAACACATTTAAGTAGTGTAACGAAAATAACGTTTAAAAAGTAAAATGCAGCATCACAGAATTTTTTCTACTCTTCAGCATGGGCCATAAATATGATTTCCAAAGTCCATGTATTTTTTATAACTTTACTTCCTAAGAAATTCTCTTGCTAGTTATTATTCTATAAATTTGTGTTCCTGTTTTTGTATAAGTTTTAATATGAGAATAGGTTGTTGTTTAGTTACGTCAATATCGAAAAATACCACTGTTCATAAAGCATTTCACGCTTTATGCATAAAATGCATGTGTATAAATAGAAACTTACATATGTTAACTCCCATATATATCGATTTTTATTTTGTTGTATTTAGTATTTTCTGGTAGACGTGTCATATGTTCACACATATCTTTAAGTGAAAACAAAGGCCATTGCGTTTCATTGTACCATAAATGTTACGTCAAAAGTAAACCTTTGTTACTTCAAGAACCATAACATTTTAACAATAAAGGAATGTTTCTGGGTTATTTTGATCAGTTTTACATGGTTCCTCAGTACGAAAAAAAAACCTTAAACACTAGTGCCTAAGCATTTGCATATGAAAGAATCGCTATTAAGCTTCTAAATACAGTTAAGCTTTTCCTTCTGAATTTTGCTCAGTAAGATTCGGGAAACGAAAGATTAGAATGAGATATAAGATATTTTATAAGAGAATAAAATTATGAAGGAAAGATATTGAGTAAGATTAATAGTTAATAACATTAATGTATTCAACTTTTATTTACAAAGTACTGAAAAGATGAGATAAATAGCAGTTAAACACACGTTATGCTCTGTTACTTTTTACGACAGTAAATGAAAAAGACATCTAGTCTTATTTTGATCAATTTAAATTTCAGACGTGAATTCATAATATATATTTTGATCGATTTTTACCAATATAAGTTAAAAAGATTTATTCTCTTGGTGTGAGAACAATTTTTTAATTGCGTTAAATTACCCAATTCTTAACAAATGCAAAAATAGTGACTGCACCAAAAACATAAAGGGGTTTAATGAATCCTTTAGGAGTTCAGGAATTCATAAGTGGTTTCTAATAAGTCTTCAGTATGTCCCTTAAAATACTTTCACGATGACTAAAACTATGTAAGAGTTCTGAAAAATTCTTTTTTCTTCCAAAGAAGACTGCGTTTATGTTTTGAATTTGTTTAAAAACTTAGTTAAATGCTTAATTTTGAGAATGAATTTCAGGTTTAATATTCATCTATTTTACGATTGCGAAATACTCAAGATCAGCGGGTATACTTACCGTTGTTATGGAACATCGCACTTTAACTTATTAATTATGAAGTTAATGTGTGTATAATGTGATAAAAATGAGTTTAATGTTAAATTGGTTGTAATATAACTTTTAAGTGAACAATTTTATAAACGTTTCCTTGGTAAATTTGTAAACTATGTTATAAGGTATTTTCCTCTCCTTTCTCCCTTCTGTATGCCTTCCTGGTGTAACTAGAAGCATACTCGACGCGTATTCGAGAGGTCCAAGGTTCGAGTTCGGACCAGGGCACTGTACACTTTTCACCTCTCCTGCTTAAAAAAAAAATAGTGATTCTACAAGTGGCACCCGAACTAAAGATGGTGGACGACAATTCGTCACCACCAGATTTGGCGAATGGGTCCCCTTCTCCCCAGTCGTCCTTTTTTAAAAGGGGGAGTATATAAAGTATTTTCTCCCTCTTTTCCGCATACCTTCGGGGGTGTAACTGGAAGCATACTCGATAGGTATTCGAGAGGTCCAGCGTTCGAGACCCGATGAGGGCACCACACATTTTCACGTCTCCTGTTATAAAAAAGCCTAAATGGCTCTACACGTGGTGGAGCACGAACTAAAAGATGATGGAAGATAATTCGTCCCTATCAGATTTGGCGAATGGGTCCACTCATCCCCTGCCTCGAGTCCCGGCGAGGGAATTGCCCATTTTTCGCGTCTCTTGCTTCAAAATAACCTAATGACTCTACAATATATTACCAAACTATGCAGAATGTATTAGTCATAAAATGGTTACATAAAATGGCCTTGGTTACAGATGAATTTGGTCTTGTATGAGATGTATACTGGCGATCTTTATTTATATTTCAGGAAATACTGGTTACTTCCAGAAACGATCCTCTGGAGAAAAGTGTCTCCGTAAGAAGTGTCACTATATTTAGCATTAAAATGTATACTTCTTCAACTTCTTTTTCTCCATTTCTGGAATTAAGCATTTGCTATGCGCGAATGCGTCACAACAGATTCTTAATTTTAGAATAAACTCGAAATTAAAAGGTTTAAATCCAGGTCTTAATATACTTTATTAATTGCATATAAGAAGTATATTAGGAATAAGAAGAAAATTGTATTGTTTATGATGATCGAATTCTACAGTAACCGCAATTTGGAGATACTTTTGGATTTTCTTACGTCATGCATTAACATTTATAACAAACGGAAAGCTTAAAAGTTTAAATAGTTTTGGGTGGTGGAAGGAAATTAGATAGATAATCAATACAGTTTTATACACACCTTTTGATAAATCTCATTGCTAGACTAAACTTTTGTTAAAAAAATATCCTCAATAACCCATCTTCAAAAATACATCTTATTGATATTGCCAAAGTTATTCTTTCAGAACTTAAAGAAAGCAACTCCGTGCGTTTTCGTCATCAAGCCTTGGGAAAATGTCCTACTTTAATTCATTTGTTATACTAAATATTCGCACAACAAGTACCCATAAATCAATTTTCTTTTACTTCTTAGCTTTCAGAACTTTAGTTTTGAAACGTATTCCTTGATAACAAAAGTATTCTGAATTAAAATAACTAATTTAAAATTGTCACACATTCTCTGCCATGCTTTTAACTGTTAACTCTCGGTCTTTGTAATTGAAATATCTACGATCATCCATCAAGTAAGCTTTGGAAATCTTACAGTTGGAGGTGAATTCAAATGATTTGTACCTTCCGCAATGCCCACAGGTTGACAATAATCCCCCATCCCTTCCGCAACTGCCACATGCTATGCCACTGGGGTTCCCAATCTACCAGACGGACATCAGTCACCATCAGAGGGAATCCCAAACGTGATCTGAAGCGATAAAAAGATGCACAAAAAGTGATCTTTTCGTCTTCTCTAAAAGAGGACATTGTCTCTAAGTAGTGAGAGTTTTCCTCCCTCCTGACTTCGCCCAATAAGGACACTCACTCCATTTTTTTTTTCACCTTCGCAAAAGGATTATTTCCTGTTAGTATTCGTATTGTGTCCAAGATTTGTGGTTGACAAAGAGAACATGGGTTGGGTCCATTAGTATATATACTACCGATCTCCACCGAAGACACTAATCAGAACTATCTGAGACATTATCCAAGTCGAGAACAGAAGAGAAAACCACAGCTCCAACATGAAGGTAAATAAACTGCTCTTCATAAAATTAGTATAGTTTTTAAAATATTATGATAATATTATAAACATGGATATCACTGAAAAAAATTGCTTTGATATAAAATTAGGAATTAGTAGAGCAAACTTAAAAGCCTCCCAGTAATAGAAATAAATTTGCATTTAATTAGAAAACATATTGGTAATCTTTAAAGAAACTAGCTAAGAATTTTTCTAAATATACAAAATATCGTGTGAAGGATATAAATTTCATATAAACTAGAAAAAAAAATATTTTTAATTACGTTTTACTACTGATGCTAGTGAATGTATTTGAAATTTAATTTCTTTGTTCTAGAGTAAGTTATAGGCATCTAAAAAGCTAAACTAATTTAAATAAACGAATATAACAAAACCTACAGTTTTTTCGGAAAAATGCTAGTTATTGCTGTAGTACATTAATGAAGTGCATTACGCTAGGATTAAACGTTTAATTTCTCTTAAAATTATCAACATCATATTCTATTCATTATTAAAATTGACATCAAACGTACTGAAAATTCAAAAGAATTAAATTTTTATATATATATAAGAGTAATAGATGTATGATTTTTAAGACATTCGGCTAGATATTAGAATAAATTAAATTAAGAGCAAAGATAAGAAATAGTACCTAAAATTAAGGAAAATAAGGTGTTATTAATAAGAGATCAATAATTTTAGTGAAATCTCCCTAAGATGACCACCCATGGTTTCAATTTGTTTTTGGTCATTTGCAGAGTTGTTCAGGTTGAGAAATACGACCATAAATAATATTCAGACTCAATATTTCTTATAATACAAATATTATATTTACAAAAATATCGTCCTTTGGTGAATACTGCCACTGTGAAAGATTTCCGGCATTTATGAAGTTATTTTTTTAGAAGTAGATTAGTAGATTTAAAGTTTTTATGTAAATGCATGCTTAAGCTAATTATTTGAAATTTATCCTAAGCAATAGCTTTCTTTTTTATTACAGTACAATAAACTTTTTATTAAAATACAATTTTAAAAAGCATTTTTCATATTTCATGACGTTTTAATTGTAGCCTAACTCCTGGCATGTTATATTCGAAAACTCAGCTTTAAATCTAATTTTTTAAAATGAATTTAAAGTGTGCACCTTCCAAATGCATTATAAAATTTAGTGTACGAGATAAGAAAAAATAATTGAAAATTATTATTAATTAATAATTTAAATTTATCTAAATCAGTTGAGTCGATATTAAATTTATGAGTTATTTTCACCCTGAGAATTTTAATTTAGGAAATTATTTGACCAAGGAGCTCAGAAAATTATACTGTGCGTCAATATTTGACTATGTCTTCATTTTCATGTATTTAAAGCTACACCCTTACCTTTGTAATAGATTAGACGGCATTAAGCACTCGTAAACTGGAAACTTTAGAGGAACAGGCTGACTTTATCCTAAGCCCGAAAATAATTACCATATTGCACACATAAACATGCATATATATTATTTATTATATAAAGGGCAAAGTATCAGAGAAAAATTGCGTTTACCTTTGAATTAGTTTTAGAAATATTTCACATTATACAAGCAGAAATAAGCATTTGAAAAAAAAAATTAATTAAATTTTGAAAAAAAATTAGTTTTTTTAGATTAAATTAAACAAATCAAAAGACCAGACAAATCTCATCTTCTTAGTTTTCAAGCAAAGAATTTACATATATTGAATTGAATTGTCATTAAGTACATTCATAAGGCAATGTAGTAGTTTAATTTAAGAGGTAATATGATAAAATTTCCGAGTGTGTAATAAGACTGAAAATCTTTCAAGAACCAGAATTTACAGCTTTCGTCGTCGTTTGATTGATTTTAGCATATTTTGAGCTGCAATTTCAAATTCGTTAAACAATTAAAATTACAGATATTTATGTATATATATATATATATAAAAGTTCCAAGTTGAAAACAAATAAGCATTTCAATTGCAGTGTTTAGCTTCAATAAATGATTTCCCGTTAATTTTGATTTGACTAAATGTTTTTTGCTTTTATTACGTTTTATGGTTTGCATACTTGAGTTCATAGATAAAGCAAAAGTAAGAAAATATACATATAAATAGTGTATCAAATACTGAAAAATTTCAACTTTTGCTACCCTAGACCATTAGCAGAAGATAAGTGCTTTTAGAATACCATCATTTTATGTTTAAAGTACAATTTTGCTAGTAAAAGAGTATGAAAGTTTTCATGTTACTACTCTTTGAAGCAAATTCCCGGAAGCGGACTAGTATAAAATATTTAATATTTTTATAGATTATATGATGTGAATTTTATAACTGAGAGCTTAATTCGTTGATTATATTTGAATATGTTCTGTCTGTGACTTTTTTTCATATTTTTAAATCTGTCTTTTTCTTTTCATTGCAGTGCTTTATTGTTCTATCTGCTCTTATCGTCGTCATTGCAGGCCAAAGGTTAATTCCAGAATACAGGGTAAGTTTATTAAAATTAACTTAAATATAAAGTTAACTAATTAAGAATTATCATTTACCTTAATTAATTATAAAACCATTCGAATTAAATAATCCTAATTAAAGAAATTTTATTAAAACAGAAAACTCAGTTTAATTACAAATTCAAAATCATAAAGCCTTTAGAAAAAATGGCATCATTTTAAATTCACATACATTAAAAGTTGCAAAAATCTTCCAGTCTTAAAGTCACACGCTTGAAACATTTTCAGCCAGCAATTGAAAAACGACTTAAATAATAAAAGGAATTTTATCTGCATCTTATAGATAAAAATTGTGTTAGAATTGCTGTTGGAATTCACGGTTTAAAAATTGTTTTTACATTCCAAATAACTAAAGTGATCATCATATATTCTTTGAATGCAAATGGAAAAATTTTTATTACGCAAGATGGAATATTCTTCTCGAAAAAGAAAATTACTTTAGAAGTTTAATTGGTTTGAAAACAACATATGACAATTTGAATTTTAGAAATGTTCTTAATGTTGTAAGAAAAACGCGTAGAATTTGTTTCAGAATCAGGCAATTAGTCCATGGTACGAGGCGTTTTGCACATATTCTATTGGTTTATCTTAATAAATGAAATTATTTTAAAGGAAAATTAGCATAAATTTGTAAAATTATTTAAATATCTGAAACTTGAATAAAATACTTTCTTCTCTTCTTTCTTTCAAGGAAATACGAATTTAAAATAGATCAATGCTGATGAAAAATTTCAGACTCAAAATTTAAAAAATGAATGGTTTCGTACAATTATAGTATAGTTGTATAATTTCACATATATCTTTTCAAAATATAGTATTTCGTATTCAAATTTTTTATTCCAAAAAAGGGCGTTAGCCCTAATAGACTAATAGTCTCCTAGCGGGATTTCACGTCATTCCCTATAAATGTCATATCACATTCAAATTGTTGCCACCAAATATTCTCGCCCGATATTATTTGTAAAGAAATTTAATAACTAAGAATCTGCTCGAATATATGAATGTGTTCCACAATGTCAAGAAAGCACGATACCTACAGTCAACAAATTTTAAATAATGTGACACTTGGAAGCCCGAATTTTGAATTTCGACCAGGTTTTATTATCTAATTCATATTTTGTAAAACCTTATTTTGATTTGATTTGCAAGCGAACAGTGATAACACTGTACGGAAGAGTAAAACATTTTAACATTTTTATCTCCAGGTCCCGAGATTGTCTGTTATAAAGATATACTGTTTTTAAATATCTAGCGACTTTACTGCTGAACTAAATTTTTTGTGTCGTAAGGGCAAAGAACATGATATCTGATACATAAAGTTAACACACAAAACGTTGATAATAAAAAGACAAAAGGCCTTTTTCTAGCCATCTTACTAAGAAAACTGAACACTGATATGATGAACTGAGAAAAGAGTGAAAAAATATAAAAATGTATGCCAAAACTTAACACTGCATCGGGATTCTAAATTTTGTTAAATTACATAAAAATTGAGTGATTTTACTGTTGAATTGTATATTGCGTAAGTGCGAAGAAAATGATGCTTAATGATGAAGTTAAAAATTCGAAACAAATGGGCTAGCAGGAGTGAGTGTAACAGCAGACTAAGTGGACTGTGAGCCCTATTGGATAACCGTTAAAATCTGAAAAATTTCCGAATTTCTTTTAAAATTAAATATGTTTCATGGTTAGATATCAACAGAGTGGAATAGTTAAACATTTTTTAAAATCTTTCTCAGAAAAGAATTTTTATTTTGATACTTTAAATAAATTATTTTTGTTACCCTCTTATATATGTAACGAAGGACTTTTATTAGGGAGAAAAGGAAATAAAAATATTTAACTAATTTTTTACAATAATAATTAAACAACAGAAAAAGCTAAAACCTTACAACAATAGACCAGATTGTAGTAAAACATATGCATTTAAAAGTATTTTAATGTGTATTTTATACGCCTTTATCTAATTAGGTTAATTTTGAAATTTTATAAGTACTACAAAAATAAGTGCAAATGTATTTAATATTTCCTGAAACTTAAATCAGTGCTTGTCATAAGAATATGATTTTATTATTCTAAACTGATTTTCGTGCCCGTATTGAATATAATTAAAATCTTGAGAAATCAGCTATCAAAGACAGGATCAAATACTGAAAAAGATTTTAAGATTATTTAAAATTGGTCGAATCATGTGATATACCTATAATATTTAATTGTAATTTCTATTGCAGCAACCAGAAAACATCCCGATTCCCTATTCCTTCAGTTATGCCGCTGACACCGAAGACGGAGGTCGAAGCGCTCACCAGGAGTCAGGGGATGGTAACGGAAGGGTTACAGGATCCTACACTGTCCAAGGAGATGAAGGATTCGGTCGCATTGTGGACTACATAGCAGACGAGAACGGATTCCGAGCAACCATAAGAACCAACGAACCAGGCACCGCTAACCAAAGCCCAGCTGATGTCGTCCTTGAATCAACCGCCCCTGATGCTGCTCCAGCACCGGCTCTCAGGGCAGCTGCCCCAGTAAGCCCAATAAGACCAGCCGCCCCTGTTGCTGCAGGAAGGGCAGGAGTGCGATATGTTTTAGTACCTATAACTGACCCCAGAGCTTCCGGATATTACTAATGAAATTAGCCTTCTCGAAGTTCCTTTTCACCCTTTCCCAGTGATTGTTAGTTGTCTTCATGGTTTGTTTACACTTTTAGGTATTTTATATTCATAAGATGTTTGTTAGTGCTTTATTTTTTGTCATGTTTAGAGCGCTCTGAATAAAATATTTTGGTGCTTGACTTGGAGTATTAATTTTTATGTTTTAAGCCGGTTTTATTTAGCAATTGACATTTACCTTGACAATCTGCCCATTAATGGGATCACTGTTACAAAGGCTTTAAGTAAAATAAAAGAAACTGTTAATAATCAGCGGGCTTATACGAAAACTGGGTAAAATTTTTAAATAAAGTTGGAATTTTAATATATAACTAAACATGCATGTCTGTGCATTGTCAGATATTAGTACAGAAAAGTAATTAAAAATTTTTTATGATACCATAGTATGATTCGCAACTTTTCATGAAATGCGTGATTCTTCCTAAGTTGTACATTTAAATTTTAGTATCAGCAAAAGATATTTTAAAAACAAAGTGATATTTTTTAACCTACAGGTAATTTTATAAAGACTGGTAGAGAAATATCTATTCTTACTCGGTTTCACCTTACAAGCATACATTCGTTACACGATGCTTTAGACTAACTCATACTGAAAGCTTTAGATAAATGCTAAAGGCAACTGTTTAAATCATGAAATTAAAAGTTAAATCTATTCAAGCAGCTAATTAAATCATGAAACTTAATATGAGCTCTGAAAGCGATGAATATAACATTATATTGCAACAACCCAATATGAGCAAATTTTAATACCAACCCATTTAGCTTGATGGTCAAAATGTACTCTTTAGCATTTAGGTGTTCCAAACTTTAACATTCATAAAAATAATTTATAAGCACACATATTCAACTTATAAAATTTAATTTCTTCTGACTAATCTAATTTTTCCTGCTTGATTTAGGTAAGCGAAAGAATTACATTAAATAATTTCTACAGTATTTGTAAAATATTTTCGCATTTAAGACGATGGGGAAAATTGGAATTTGAAAAGTTCAGATTATAGCTAACAGAAGCAATTACAAAACACCCAAATATATCTTTAAGTTAAGATTCAAATTCAGTATCTGAAACAGATTTCAGGTAAGGAGTTAGGACAGACTTACATACATGTTTAGTTATGATTCCCTAACAATTTGAAATGCAGATCATGCATATAAGCTTGGCTACAAATTGCAATGACAAATGGCGTAAAAAAGTTCTGTGGTGATATTGTTCTATCATGAATTTACTCCACTTGGATAATCTTGCTCTTATTTTAAAGAAACGAATTATTGAAGAGTTGGTTGAGCATCATTTTCACTAAATGCACTGTGGAGAAGGTTTATAATAAAAGTTTTCCTGGAGGGATGTCGCAACAGTAAAGTACGAGTACAAAATCATCGTGTTTGAAACAATGACACTTTCTTCAAAGTTTTAAAAAAACGCCTTTAAATTTCAAAATTACTTTTGAAGCGAGAATGGAATGTAGTACAGTAAAATAGAGCAACTGTAATAATTCTTATTCTACTTCTATGTTCTTCTATGTGTAGATCAATTCAACAGCATGTTTGTATATTAGAGCTATCAGCATCATATTATTTTTTGAGCTATCAGCATCATATAATAGAAATTTCTTTAGCTCAAAGACTGCTTGCTGTCATTTTTTCGTTAAAATATTATAGATTATTCGAACCTTCTAACAATGAATACTGGAGGAATTATTGGTACAGTAAAGCATAGGGCTATACTTGGAAACGATTTCGCACCCTGACAGTTTTGGAATTGCAGCATAAAAATGTAACATCACAGAAAGCATAGAAATAATTATATGCGATTAATGAAGCGCGGGTGCATAAATATGAAAATGAATATAAAGAGTAGAAATTAAAATGCAAAAGCCAGTGAAACTGATTAAAATAAGCAATGCTAATTAAAGTGTCTTTAGCTAGTTTGCTTTGTACTTGCAAACAACTAGAAATCTAGAAATAGTCCAATCCAGAAAAATGGCTTCATAAATTTCGAATGATCGCTAGCAAGATTTATTATTACGTGTTCCACCCTAAGGTACTACACGAAAGGGAGAGATGCCTTCATGGAGGACATTCTAAGGAAAACTGGCTCGTATTAACACGTTACACATGAGAAAAACAGTGAAAACGCCCATGCAGCCAGCTCGTTCACGGGATTCGAACATCAGACAGAACTACCATTGTTTAGGAACTTTAACCACTCTGTAGCTAGTGGGCCTTGAAGTAGGCATAATATATCCTTTATATCGATTTGCGGAGAAGCTAATTAATGATCCTGGTTGTGTGACAGAGGGAATTAAAAATTTTGATAACATAAGATTTCCTCCCAAACATATTTGCAATCTGGATGAAATCTGTCTATTTTTAAGTTGCTGAGAATATGTATTTTGAAAACTTGAAATGCATTCGAGTCCAGTTTCAAAAGAACCGTTTGCAGTGATATCGTGTTGCAATATGAATGGAGATTTTGAAAAATCGCTTGTTACAGATAAGGTAATAAAAGATTTGAATAACTATGCTTTAAAATATGATTCAAATGTAATTCACTTCGCAATAAACCAAATTAAATTCCTTGCAGAACCAACTTTCAGATTTCAAATAGGAAACGATCTTAAACTCTTAAATTTTCATTGCGCATTATTATCGTTATTTATACATATTTTGATAGATATATAATAAGTAATCGGGCATCTACCAGAAAAGAAAAAAGCAAATTTAACCGAAAGAAAGAATCTCACAATTTTAGTCAATTAGAAAAGGTGAAAAGTATAAATATAAAAAGTAAATAGACTACTTGAAAGTTGTCGAAGCACAGAAGACCTATTTTCTTAAGAAGAGAACAGATCGAATCCAAAAGTAGAACTTGCAAATATAATAATCCGATAAATTGAAAAAACAAACTATGTGCGAAATCCAAAAATGAAATTAAGAAAAATATATCCAAATTTTGAAAACATTCAGGAAGTGTTAAAAAATAATGAACTAAATAAAGAAACAAGCCTAAAAATCTAATAAACAATTTCTGATATGAGTAGATCGAGTCCAAAAACATGTAAAACACAAATAATTTAACGTACGCGAAAAAAAAGAAGAAAGAAAGAAAAATTTTACCTAAAATATAAACAAAAAAGAGTAAATAATTTAAAAAAAAGAAAAGCCCTAAAGGGTTCAGGTTTTGACTTTCGCCCAAAAGGATTGCTTAAGTGTTTTTACACTCTCGCTCAGATCTCAGTTTACTAATGTGCTGCTACCCTCACTCCTGCTAATCCATTTTTTTTTATCTTTTTATCTTTTCAGCTTAAACATCATTTTGTTCGCACGCACACCATATACAGTTAAACAGCAAAATTGAAAAAAAAAAAAAAAAATTAAAAGCACTATTGCGGTATACTATGTTTAGAACTCTCAATGCAGTATTAAGTGTACATTTTACAGCATACATTTTTCTGTATTTTTCAGTATATTCTCCATTAGTTAAAATATGATTCTCTCTACCTTTAAGCGCATAAAAACCACTTCAAGAGCGAAATTACAACATATTTAAAAACAGCATATCTCTAAAATTTCCAATATACAGTTAAAATAGAGAGTTATATACAGTTAAAAGCGTGTTAGAGGTAAAATAGTTTTAATTCGTGCAGAGCTGCCCCTGCTCGCTTTTAGATCGTTGATTACGGTAAAGTTTTACAAAACATCGTATTCAAAATTCGGGCTTTCAGGTGCATAAGCTCGCTTAGAGGACTACATTATTCAAAATTTGATGGCCCTAGGCAACACCGCTTTTTCACAATCTGAGGAACATAATACATACTCGCAGATTAAATTTCTTTAAAAATATTACAGAGCGATAATATTTAGTGGCAACAATTTGAAAGGTGACACAGCAGTTTATAGTGGACGACACAAAGTCCCGTTTCGAAACTAATAGCTCATTCGGGTCAACGCTGTTTTGGGCTAATAAAAAATAGAAAATATAAGAGTAAGTTCTTTGAAAACATAAGAGTTTTCTTTGTAATTATTATTTAGTTGCTGTAATGATATAGATTTTAAAAACATATCCTTTTTTACTGCTTTGTACGAAATAAAAGAAGTATTGTAATCACGAAAAATTCCATTTTGACCACTATCGAATGGAATTTAACGATGTTTTTGCATGATATCAGTACGTAAGGAAATAATAAAAGACTGTTTTTCCCCAAACGAATTATAAGACTGATTTAGAATTATTTAAAATTTTTTAATTGTATTTGGTGTTTTATGGTTTTCGATATTTTTTAATTCTAATGAAGATGTTTCAAGTTTTTATGTATTTTTGCCTTGCCGCGAGGTTATAACTGTATTTATTGAATTAGAAATATATCTCTTATGAAATTCGAGGAAGTAAGTTTAAATGAAAGGCAGTAAAAGAGGTGCATAATTGTAATCATGTGGAATAATCAAGGAAATCATGTGGTGTCCTCATCAAATTTTTTAAATAAAATTTCCGGCCAATCAGCTGATTTCAGATCTTGAATTTGTTCCACATGCAATTTGATGTTGAGACCACTGAGATCTAGTCAACCTTCTGAATTCTAGCCCCAACAAGCGGCCGAGTGGTAAAGACGCTGAACCCTGGTATTTCGGCCTGAGATTCCAATCCCGCGAACCGGACTTGGCTACATGGGCGTTTTCGTAGTTTTCTTCATGTGTAACGCGTGTAGGAGCCAGTTTCCCTTATGAAGTTCTCCCCGAAGGCATCCCTCCCCTTAGGCAGATAATTTTGGAGGCTTTGTTGCAGTTACTTAAACCAAACCAATCCTGAATTCTGCATTTTCTTTTCGGAACAACTATCTATAAAGAGAGACACTTCTTTTATTCGTGGTTAGTTTTTAATTTTTTTAAGAAATCTAAGTAAAATACATTAACATCTTATTTGAGATTTCTGGAGGTTCAGAACTGTTCATTAAACAAAAGCCGGTTGTTTTACTGGAACGTCTGAATGGGGCAAAATAGGCACAATTTATTCCAGTGTTATCACATTTTTTTCAAGTAATGAAAATAAATCTTAATCGAAGATACAATTTAACCCTGCGAACAGCGTTTCACTTGGTAATGGAAATATCAGCAAACACTATGC